TGCACACATAAGCTACCAGAGGTGTGGCCAGTCCCGCTGCATCACGTTGTAAACTTTAATGCTTATCTGTAAGTCACTCACCACTCCAATAACACACCCAGGACTTACATAGCAACACTGTCTTCACAACACAAATTCCATGAGTTCACTGATTGTACAAACCATTTCCTGGTGGGTAAGCTATTGATAGCCTTATGCAAGCCGATGGGACGACCATACAGCTGAGAACCTATCACAGCAGATATGCTGCAGGTAGTAACCAACAACCTGCCACATGTATGTTGGTCTGCATATGATATCCAGGCTGTTCAAGGCAGTCAACTGTACAGCCTTCTACATATTCTTTAGTGTAAGCGAGCTGGTCCAAACGGGACCCTCCAAACCAGGTTGTTCCATCCATAATCTAAGTTTCTCGGGCAACACCGAACAGCTATCAATACATCTCCCACACTCAAAGACTGATCAGTATAATACGAAGGCAACAGTCACAATGTCATCACAACCAGATAATCCACTATGTCCCATAGTCCCAAGCACTATTGTTCTATTTAGATCATTCCCCTATCACTAGGTACCAATTCCAGGCACTTGTCATAGCAACTGATTTACGACACCCATTGTCTGAAGAACATTTAATTACAAAGGCTCATTACCCTGGAGCCATGACATCTATGTGCCTTGAAACACTTAATTGCTGTTATTTATGAGATGCTAATCCTATTTGTTAATCCCCATTTTTGTGTACATCGACCGTCTGCCATCCTGAACGAGATGTGCAAGTATGTTACTGATGAATTACTGTTTATATTTATATTTATTACTTACTAAATGTCAGGTGACCTTAGCTATATAAGCCTTGGTCCAGAGAGATTGAGAATAGCCAGGAGGCTCCTGGCCGGGATCAAACAGTAAGGATCGGGACCAGCCACCACTCCCACCCAGCCAAACCCCAACCCCTTAGCTTTTTAGCTTTATTAGATTAGGTCTGTAAAGTTTATATTATTTTTGGTTGCACTTCTTTATTTATTCATTACGCTTTTTTTCCCAAATAGTATAAGTGCTTCCCCGTGTGCGAGATATACTAATGTAATTTATTACATGCGCAAAGCTCACGTTAAATCTCCGAGTCAGTCAGTCAGAGATTGAGAAGGAGAAAGAAAGGTCTTACCCTTAGCCTAGCTAGGGTTAGGCTGGGTGCTCCGGGGCACCTAGACAACAACCACAACCACTATATGCTGACCTGGCACATAGTGTCTTTTGTATGTATATATCTACATGTATGAAGTAAAACTGTATATACCGCAAGCCATCGTCTCCTAGTTGTCACTTCCTTCTGAGAACCATATGTCGGCCTCTTGCATATACGAGTATGCAAATTATTTATTAATCAACGTCTTGACCACACGCGTTGTTATTTGGTGGAGCTATCGGGTATGACAGACTTCTTAGTCTGTCCTTTCCTGTACCTCTTTGCAGCATGGCATATGGTTCACAAAACTGTAGGAAGTGACAGTCTCTTATTAAAAGGATATACTACCTTCCTGGAGGCCAATCACCAAGAACAAAGAAATGGCCTGTAACAAGATTGAAGAAAGAACAAGAACCTCTCCGATCAAGAACAAGTTCTCCGATCTCAAACCTTCCCTGCTCGAATATCTTAGCAACACTGCTAAGACTTCCCCTTCAAGATGTTGTTCCTGCACAGGACCAAAGAAAAGAAGTATACACGCCTATCCCATAGAGATCCGACCACAGCCATCATCATGCAGACCCTGCACAATACAGAAGCCGCCTCACGGGCACCAACAAGATGGACACTGTGTACAAGATATCTCATTGAGACTTACTAATTTGTGTTTACTTACATGAACTCAATCAAGGATATATATTGTGTGACTGTTGAATAGTGCAAGCAGGTATGTTTAATCAAAGCCAGTAAGTTAATGCCAAAATGCGTCTTTCCAAAATTCAGTTTTGTATATGTGCAGTATACTCCAATTTTACATCTTTAGTCATGCTAGATCTTGAAGTTATTGTGTAGGGAATCTTTGAAATGTCTCCAGGCCACGACAGACATATAGATACAGCTAGGGCCCAGACAAACCTAAGCTGTAGGGTTATCGAGTCAAAGCTCGACACGTAATTTCAAAATTCTAAACGACAAAATTTGTCATTTGTTACAAGTTATTAATGTGCACAGTTTGGTATAAAATTGAATGTATTGTCTAGGACTTTGAATTCAGATTAGGGATATTCTTGGGTGAGCCACCCCCACACATATGTTTATTGAATGTCAGTATTAATTAATTAACAGCACAGCAGTATTCACCATTTCAGAGTTTTGATGTCGGAATTAAGGATTTTTTTCTTGGGCATCGCACCCACAATATCTGGGCAAGCTCCGTCAAAGACACGGGAAGAGCACCCATTGTACTTAAAAGGGCAATAGTACCCACAGGTACCGTTTGAGTCGCGCAGTAAAGTTAGACTCCTGGTTTCAAATTTCTTCATGTGAAATATTTGCTGAGACGTTTAATTTGTACTTTTTATGACATTACTCATTATCATTATTCGGTACTGAGTCGCACCGCCAAGCCAGACTCCTGAATTTAAAGAACCTCCATGATATATTTATTGAATCTGTGCAAAGCGGTAATTACCTTGTAGTGAAATTGCACATTACAAAGATCACTTGGTTAGTTTTCAAACTGGCACTAAATCAAATTGGCTAGATCACTTTCATACCGTCATTTGCATGGATATATTTGTTGCATAAGGATTTCATGTAACTGATTTTGTTCACATTTGCATTGTTGTTTCCGTTGGTGAAAAAGTTCACACATATCAACTTGGACTCATGTAAGTGTAGCCGGGCGTGGTGTCATGTGTCCAGCCACTGGGCTGCTAGTCAAAACATGAGGCAGTTCTTGAAGATGATGATGATTTTATTCTTTTGTAGTAGATGGTGGGAGGGAAGCTGTAAACAAGAGTCCTCCCTCCATAAAGAGTTCATGCAGAATATGTTATAATTTAATTTAAGCCAAAAGGAAACAGATTAATTTATAAGGATATGTTGGGTAGCACATGGTTGAAGCACATGGTTGAAGACCATGTGCTCAATTTATATAACACAAAATGTGTGAGCTGGCAAATATTTAGATATGACAAATTAAATAATAATGCAATTAAATATATTTTACTTTAATGAAAAGCTGTGATACCCTTTCTATGAATATAATTGTTTCTAAAGCAGGATGGAAAGAGATAAGAATATTGAAATGTTTCTCACCTGTAAACAAGAGTCCTCCCTCCATAAAGAGTTCATGCAGAATGCATGAGGAGGGCAGGTGAGAAAGGAAGTTAAAGAAGTGGACCAAAGGGCCAATCAAAAGAAAGGTAGCATCTGACAGGTATTAAAGGAAGTCAAGATGCTTCAGTCACATAAAGTGGTGGACATATCTAAATATAGATAGGGGGAAGTCCAGGTGAAGCTGGAGAAATTACAGAGGCTGCAAAAGGGTATCAGGTTGGTGTTAGTTGGCTGACATTCAACTGCAGACAAGGACAACATATAATGAACATATAATGAACACAGAATGAAGTGATGGTGATAATAGATGAACATGTATGTATATATGTATAGAATGAATCTAAGGGGGGTTATAAGTGGGTGGTACTTATGTGGCTATAACTCATTCAGAGTTAGCACCACCACCCGGCTACATAAGCTTGGGGTCCAAGCTTCACGTAACGGAGGGAAGTTGTCATAGCAACTGATTTACGACACCCATTGTCTGAAGAACATTTAATTGCAAAGGCTCATTACCCTGGAGCCATGACATCTATGTGCCTTGAAACACTTAATTGCTGTTATTTATAAGATGCTAATCCTAATTGTTAATCCCCATTTTTGTGTACATCGACTGTCTGCCATCCTGAACGAGATGTGCAAGTATGTTACTGATGAATTACTGTTTATATTTATATTTATTACTTACTAAATGTCAGGTGACCTTAGCTATATAAGCCTTGGTCCAGAGAGATTGAGAAGGAGAAAGAAAGGTCTTACCCTCAGCCTAGCTAGGGTTAGGCTGGGTGCTCCGGGGCACCTAGACAACAACCGCAACCACTATGTGCTGACCTGGCACATTGTGTCTTTTGTATGTATATATCTTCATGTATACCGCATGCCATCGTCTCCAAGTTGTCACTTCCTACTGAGAACCATACGTCGGCCTCTTGCATATACGAGTATGCAAATTATTCATTAATCAACGTCTAGACCACACACGTTGTTACGCTCCTTAAAAAGGATTTTAGCACACAGCAACATAAATACTGCTTCCTATTCTTCTCACTCCTTCCGCATTTGAACGGCCACAGCAGCAGCAATGAACACATATAGCAATATGGCAGGTGGAAGTCAGATTGTTACAATGCTTACATATGACTACAACAAATCTAATGCTACACAACTTTGAATGAAGCAGTATCAGGGAATATGTCTAAAAAAGTTGTCGTTTAATAAGGGAATATATATAATACCTAAAAAGTTTAGGGATTCTGTATATTACCTGTGTAAAACAGACATTACATATATTTCCTGATCATTTCATATCCTCTGATTTGACGTATCCTTTGTAACATATATATCATACAGTATCATTAAGGGTAGACTAAAAGTCTAAGAAACAAAATGTTTATCAAACTAGCAGTTTTAGAGTTAGGAATGTAAATTTAGGAAAAAAAGGGGTGCCTGCTGAAATCTTTTTTTTGTCTGTTTATCTACTGTTATCAACATACAAAGTTTAAGGCCATCAGTCATATTTTGTAGGACTGTCACAAAATCTTCTCGAAATGAAGAAAAAGAAGAGGTTTAACTCACCAAGTATTTCTGTGGCTGTTTCCCTATCCACAAATATCCTGGAAAACTGTGATTGTCACCTTTCTATGTGAAATATGGTGGAACAAGAAAAAGACTTAATTTCATTCTTACTTACTCGCTGTTTATTGACATGAAGATTTTGTGATCAAGATATGTAAGCTGTTCAGCTATATCCAGGGCTGAAAGAGTATCAAAGTTGTCTTTGGATGGAACCTGAAAAGAAATGATTGAATGAGTGACATATACATTCTGATATACGTATCTGAACATAAGCCTTGTTTTTTTTAGCTATATTGACTGATTAAATGCTTAAACAAAGTAAATACTAATAAAATTGTGGTTCAAATTGACTGACTGACATAGTGGTACAGACTTTTCACAAGTTTATTTAAGTGAGAAATTACATATTATGCATAGATACAAACAAAACCATAATCAACTTTAATCACATTAGCCAAACCTTAAAATGTACTCACATCAAAGAGATAAAATGACCAATGAGAACATTTACTTGGACATGGATGCATCAGTCTTTGGTTTTGGACCTTTGAATTATTCTTATCTTCCTCTTCCACAACATATTCACCTAAAGCTCTCTTCAGCTCTGTTTTACAACTGTTCTCTGATCACCATGATCTGTGCACCTTTACACCCTCCATATGAATGCAATAGAGCAACTACATGTTAGTCTTTCTACACATACATGTGGCTGGGGCAGACTCCCATAAGACTATACTGTCTGAAGGGGGCTTTCTTTAGCGCAATAGTAAATCTTGAGGTACCAATTGTCAGACATGTTACCTACATTCAATTAAGAGACCGACAACACTAGGGGTAGATAACAGGTGCCGTCACACTCAGTAGGTTGACTTAACTCGTAATGAGATGTCCTCATATGTGTTAAGTGGTAGGGAGAACTAAGATTCAATTTCAGAACATAGAATGTCAATGTCAGGAATACTTAATCGAGCTTGTCCAAATGGAAGCATTCAAAATTGATAGAGTTTTCCATGAAACATGCATCCCAGGTACTTCATGGAATATATATTTAGTAATATTTACTTTTTTAACATATTTCTAGTACCAAGAACATATGCAAATAGAACCCTTGGCCTGAATCTCTTGTGGTCTCTACACCATCTTTCTTCAGGCACACACCTGCACCAGCCACTGACCCAGCATCTTTTAGAGGTACAGCATCTATTCTGTTAATGCTGGTACAGTGACAACTCAATACCTTACCAAATGCAGCCATTTTTTATGGATTGATATGAAGGCTATTCATGTATCATATTAAGTTTTTTTTTTAAAAGGCCTTATATTTAAGAGGTTTCAGTCAGAAAAAGAATACCTCTTTTTAACCAATTTATTAATCAATTAACTAGGTCATTTTTATTAGTCAGTCTTGAAGGGGAACTCGAAGGGGGAGGTGAATTTGTAGAACTCACTATTTCTTCCTGACAAATGTCATTCAAAAGTAGGGAATGAGGTGGCCTTGTCGTTGCTCGCTCGCTCACTCAGTCACTCACTCAGTGGAGGAGGTTTCATCAGAAATAACCTACACTACTGCCAAGAAGTTCATTCCCCTTACACGCATTGAGAATGCATGTAACTCACATGACATGGGTATTCAATGGGTTGCTCAAGGGTTGAGCACCCATTAAAGAAGTGAGTGCAACAGATGTGCAGTGCGTGTGCAGCGAGTGACCAACGCATGTGCCATACATGTAACATGGGATCGGGTTTCAGTTAAATTTGACAAATTGCTAAAATGAATAGTGAGCTGAAAGAAAACAATGCGGCCATTGACCTGTTTTCACCAGACCATAAACATTAGGTCAGCCAATCTTAATTATTGTTCTGTTGCTCAACTTATATACATGAACCATTCTAGCCATTTTGACAAGCCAGTAGCAGAACAGTAGTGAATATAGACATGTGTTCAACGCTAAGGGATCTCGTGAGTTGACACAATTGTCATGAATAACTTTCATAATTAATCAAGTGAATGTGCTTGTGGATTGCGGAAATGTTTGTTCCAATGTTTGCCTATATTCCAGGTGTTTGCCAATAAAATGATGTTTGTTCACAAAATGAATGCTTTAGATGGTACAATTATGATAGAGCAGTCACCACTACTAATGTCCTATTATCTCATGTAGGAATATGCCCCATCCCACAAAGGTTACATTAGAGTGAACTTGACAAGTCATGATGAAGTTTAATATTCATATTATTGTAGTTTTTCAAATGTAAATAAAATTGTAAAATACATTATTTGTATATTCAATGTGGGGAAAGGTCCATGTGGGGAAATGTTAGTGTGGGTTACTGTCCAAATGGGGAATTATATATGTTGGGAAATATCCTACACTCTTGTGAAATATTTATTGTCAGTGAGTTACTTTGAACCTTACATCACACGGCGAAGTTTTCAGCTATAATAACTTCTAAAATTCATATCGACACTATCTTAATATTCAAGTTCTAGCGTGTATATATTTTTGTAGATATGAAACATTCTTGTTAATTGTAGATACTCTGAACACATATACATATAATAAAACATATGAACTGCTGTCATATAGCTGGAATATTGCTGAGTGTGGCATTAAACAACAAACAAACAAACATTAAAACATATGACAGATAAATTGGTGCCTTGATATGCAACAAGAAGAATCTTGTGTATTCCTATGCCATCCTGATCATTGTTTACTTCTACTACATGTATGTTTAGAGGCAAGACATTTGTGAGAGCACAGAATTTGTGAATAGGGCCAATAATTATATTGTTTACTACTGCTGCCACATAGTTTGGCCATTGTATGTCTTGTATCATATATGTGTCCCATTGTATTTCCTTAAATAATTAAATACCTTACCTTGTGAATTTCAATACAATTTGTGAATTATTCATTCATCTTGTGTTATTACATGTATTTACTCATTTCAGAATCTAGTTCTGTGCATACCAATTTCTGGGTTAACCTTTAAATTTGGTAATCATCATTGTGATGGACAGCCAGTCAAAATACAGGATCATGGCAATGATAAGGTTTTGAATTTGCAAGAATTAATCCTTTTCTTCCAGTGATACGGGAGGTACCCAGACTTTGGGATACTATAATACACATTAGCTCAGGTTTATCTGGATTGTGAACTCAATTTAGACCTTCAAAACGAAATTAATTTGTGAGGAATAATGCCTGTTTTCTTAATCCTAAGCGATTGATAAAACACATGATACAATCAATCCAATTGATCATTTTATGACCTCAAGGATGCACTTAGACTTATCATATAATTTTATATATCTCATGAATTTGTTCACACCACACACAATGTGCATGTTTCAAGGTATACTGTTTACATCAAAATCATACCTTTGGTATTTTCTAAAAATTTGATTTTGTGAAATTTAAAATCTTCTACTTATGCATTCACATATGCAATGATATTATAGCTGGGCTTACAGTATATTGACAAAGGAAGAACACAACATTCAAACTTATCAGCATCTCAACATTAACTATGAAGTTGTTTGCATTACATGCAAAACCAGAAGCAGCCCTGGCCCCACTTTGACCTAAATGCCCCCAAACTTTTCCATCTTTATCAAATCTGGTGACAGTTAGGGATGGTACAGATATTCGAATAGTGATCACATCAACCGTTGACTATAAAAATTCTATTAATAGTGACCTTGAACTTCAATGAAGGTTGCTCAAAAGGTTACGAATTCAATGCCCCAGCCAAAGTATGATATGTTTCAAATTCCAGACTTGCTGGGTTTCACAAACATTATACATGTTTGAGTATATGACCTTGAGAGTTAATTTGAGACTTTTATTATCAGTTTTCGGTTTTCAAGAACATTCCAAAGGGCAATCCAGCATGTGAACCATATATGAACAAATGAACACATGAACAAAATGAAGTTTGATAATACTCAAAGTGGTGGTCACAGTGACGTAGACTAAACATCTGGTCTCTAAAAAGAACATATTTTACAGAAAAAACAGTAAATTATATTTATAAAATATAATAAAAAGTAGCCTCGAGAATTTCTTCCTTCCTGATACTGCAGTACTCTAGACTTGCCAAACATTAATGATTTGCATGGGCTAATATTGGATATATTTGTTTCAGGGTCTGTATGACAAACTAACAGTGAGGGTCTTTGTTGTTTGAGGTAGTACATAAATCCATTCCAGGTTCCCTTTTATATAAAGAAATCTCTCCAAGGTAGAACTCAGTATATATAGAAATCTACACTATCACACAGCGCTAACAATGGGTGAGTCCAAACCCTGTTCTGAAATTTCTTTACGTATTACCTCAAACAACAAAGACTCCTTCACTGACAGTGACTTATCACTGATATCATTAAATTATTTTCACTTGTCATACATAAGAATTCCAAAGACTTACCACGTATAAGGGGGGAGGCATGGGTGACCCAGTTGTCTAAGGCTTTGCAATTTGCTGTACAGAGTTACTTCCCTTGGGCATGCCAGAAATCGAACAATAGTTTATCATTGTTAATAATTCTAAGAATACCACCTCTATTACATATCTGCCATAAATCCTGTATTTTGGCTTCAATCACACTAACTAAAATCTTCCAATTTTCAACAGACGTCCTCTTCACTGTCAATCACACGATTATAGTTGTCGCCAAGTTGTCTCGTAACTACCCAAGACATGATGTCATAATGGCGTCTACATTACTTTTTCCCCGTGTGTGCCAAAGTTAACACCTACTATTTTAGTAGTAACAATCTAGCACTTGGTAGTAATTCACATTAACCTTAGATTATTCTGATAAGTTGTCTTTAATAACAGACATATTAATATAAAGTAATAGTGCTGTTGGAGAGTCAAACACACACGTAATTAGTTGTCGCCAAGTAATCTCGTAACTACCCAAGCCATGACATCATAATCTACTACTAGAGGTAGATGAATTTGGGAGGTGGGAGGGAGTAATATATGTATGTAATAGAGGTAGTATTCTTAGAATTATTAACAATGATGAACTATTGGTTGATAATTCTTATGAAAGTTCTACCTCTACTTCATCTTTGCCAGAATATACCAGAGGGACCCCGGTTGGATCTGCCTCTAGTAACTCCCTGTGTAAATGACAGCAAACCTCTTCTGGAAACCATTATGTACTGATTCTAATCCTACTGAAATAATTTCCTCTG